GAATCCCTACAATATGGAAACAGGCCCTTCAGCTCAACACGTGCACACCGACCCTCAGAGCATCCCACCCAGGCCCATTCCCCAAACCCACTAATCTACACATCCCTGAACACTATGGGGCAATTTAGCATAGCCAATCCACCTAGTCTGCACATCTTTGGACTGCGGGAGGAAACTTGAGCACCCGGAGGTAACCCAAGCAGACACAGGGAGAACACGCAAACTCCACACAGACTGTTGCCCGAGGGGGAATCGAACCCGGGCCCCCGGCGCCGTGAAGCAGCAGTGCTAACCACTGAGCCACCGTGCCGCCCATAGAAGTTTATAACTTAAGAATTAAGAGCCCGTACGTAAATTAGTCATTTTTTGTTTTAGCGAGGCATTGATTTCGCAATTCAGTGGCTTCAGATTTTAAGTCTATATCTGAAAAATACTGTAATCATCATTCCATTTTACAGAATTCTGTCAGTTCTTGGTATATGCCTTTGCAGTCTCAAAGTAATGGAATTTAACCTCAAGAGGAATAACTGGTTTTATCTTTTTATTTACTATTTCTTAAGTACCACCTTTTGGATAATCAAGTTAATGAGTTAACAACTGAAAACAGGTTCTGGCTTGGATTCACATTTAATGCTACTAAAAAACAGCATTTTCACAACTTATTGCCAACTGCTTAGCACCCAGAAAAAAAAACTGGTAATACTGTAACTTTCATCACCAGTTCACTTCTGATACTCAGTTTTACTTTTCAGATGTCCCTCTGCATCAGACACAAAATCTGATGTTACCATAAATAAAACAGGTATCATTTCATTAGGAAATCCTTGAGATCAAAGTCAAGCTTGAAAAGAATGAAAATTAGGAGACAACTCAGAAAGGATAACTCTAGATAAACTCTTGTTAGCAAATATTTCCCTTCCTCACTGGCTCCCACACATTATTTAATGGACTATCTCAATGCTGACTTCCAGAGCTCCCTTTGAAGTTATCCCTATACTGCTTCACGGTTAACATCACTGCAGCAGCTCCATGATGTCATCGCACCAGAAATGGCTGATCTCAGTTACTAGTCAATGTAAATTAATCTCTGAACTGTCATGACGGTCACTGACTTGAAGGTGAATAGCCTTCTTATCCGTCAGCCGGTGAATGATACACAGTTGACAGGGAAGCTAAAGAAAATACATTTTTTTAAAATGCCTTTTTAAACCTGATATCCTTGTTTTCCAGAGGAATGAATGTTCCATCATATAGATCGAGGTCTCCAAGAGGCACTTTGGCTTTAATGCAGTCAGAATCCTCTTTGTAGTGTCTCTGTTCCAAACCTGTGTCTCGATCTTCATTTTCTTCTATATGAATTTTCTGAGCAACTAAGTGTTTCTGCATATAAAAAGGTGAATTATTGTATCCAATAGCAAAGATGAGGCTTTAAGACTTCATTTTATTCCAGCTGAATAAAGACACACTACATCTATTAATGTAACTGTTTCAAGATTAGAGGAATTCATATTGAAATTGTTAAATCACACATAATTGAAATAAGTAAGATTTGGTAATAGATCTTTAGTTGTAACTTTAAGATAAATAGTACCCAAGTTTAGATTTTCCTGGAACCTACATTCTTTTCCTTATCAAATAAGTGAAAACACCCATCTTCTCCAGACAGCTAAGTTGAATAATGAGTGCTTTACCAATGTGATGTCCAAAATTAAAATAAGGAATTAAGGAATTAACAAGGAATAAAGCCAAAATGGAAAAGGTAATTTCTCTCTTTTTCCTTCTAATTTAGTAGCAATATTTTTCTTCTATCTTATTCAAATGCCCTGTTCATGAAGGTCATTTCAGCAAATGCTTTGAATGTTACTGGAGTTCGTGTATGGGATGGGGGGTGTTGGGGGGGGGGGGGGGGCGGTGGTGGTGGAGAACAGTGTCAGCACACAATTAAGACTGCTTGAGGGACCTTTCCTTTATTGCTAGACATGGTCACCCCATTTTCAACTTTGCTCACTAACATTTTACCCATGCGTAATCATTAGTTTCCATTAATAACCTGTAGTTTCACTAAAATGCCACATTCTCCTCCTGTGAAGTGGTGCATTTGATAGCTAATGCATCAAAAGTCTCTGTCCTTCAGGTCATAGGTTAGGATCTTTAACTTGTGATTTGAAGAGTTTGGCATGCTCAAGATTATAATCAGATACAGGTTTTCCTCATTTCATGTGGTGTCCACAGCAATTTTGTTCAGATTATATATCCCTCTATCCACAAATTCTCATGAAATCCTGTCTACAAGGATTTTGATTCAGTCGACACCAATCCAAATTTGTTGATTAAATAAATATAATAGTTGAGCACTTGCCTAACCCATCAATCAAATTGGAAATTTTCAGTGATTCAAAATCTGGATGGAAGGGACTAAAAATGAGAAATTTTGACACAAAGCCTATAATAATAGAAGCCATTGTACAGAATTTTTTAAATAAACTAAAATGGATAAGAGGGACTAGCCAGCTTGATAGTTATAAAAGTCTTGCAAGCTGATACTCTTTAGCCTTTATTATTAATATCAAGTTTTATATTGTCTTTGCTAATAATAGTTGCAAAATATTTGAAACATTCCAGCTGTTTTATTAAAATTTGTCTTCCCTCATGTTTCATGTACCATAATCAAGCAAAAGGATTTCTCAACTTACTTCCAGCTCTTTGAGGTAGTTGAGTGTAGCTTCCTGTCTCATAAATACCACCAAATCATGGGGATGCTTCAGATTAAGAGGGGAATCAACCTGCCACCAACAGAAACATTATAGCACTTCCAATCATTTCAAAATACATTTTTACAATGGCATAGCCAAATTATCACAATTTGTACACATTTTAAGATGGCATTTATGTAGCGTAGGATTGCACAATTTTTCCAGAATTACCCATTTTGATTCCATTAAGGTGTTTCGACCAGAGATAGCAAGCCAATATAATCAACCTCAGTATTACTAGAAGTGCAACATAGTGAAATTAAAATATTCAATGACCCTGAAAATTTGACCAATTCTTCCTAATCAAACACAATGAATTACAGGTCTTGAAAATCAAGTTTACAATTTAAACTAAAATCAATTTATTATTAGTACTGTAATTTAGCAGGACAAAGCTAAACGCAAAATAATTTAATTAACAGCTATGACTTAAACCCAATCTTCTTTGATCATCATCCACCCTCACAGACAAAAAGACACAGTTAAGGGATAAATTAAAAAGAGAAATAAAAGAATCACAATTAAACAGTTTCAAACAATGGATGCCACGTCTCCACGCAATCCTTGGATGATAAGATTTCCACAAGCACAACTGTCTAATTTTGAAGTCACTGGTGAATTCAAATAATTTCAGTAGACTCCCAGAATTATTTACTGATTTCTTACAGACTGGGATTCTTTTCTCAGGACATTCAACAATTCTTTAACTGAACAGAAAACTAGACAGTTTAAAAAAAAGCAGACAGTCCAGAAGTTCCCAAAAATACCTCTGTACCTGCAAAACCAGTAAGAACAGGATTTTTTAAAATCAATATTCTCTGTGGTTAGTTGGTTAATATTGGTCCTCCAATGATTGACCAACTCAATATCAAACCAGCTGCCAGTTCTGGGCATGGTGAAACATTGGGTTGAATTGTCCAGTGTGTTCCTTAGATTAATAATTAAGTTACATTATTTTCCGGGCCAGTCATCAACAAACCTGTGAGTCTGTTCTCCCTTTATTAAACACACAGCTGTTAAAAGTTCAACTGACCCTAGCCCCAACTCACAGGTCTACCAAAAAAAAATGAGCAAACTAAAAAAAAGTAAGGGTCTCTATATAAGCAGGTGAGGAATTAAATTACATCCTGTTTGAGTGTGATTAGTTGTAAAACATTTTCAGCAAGGAAGAAAGCCATATGACACAGTTCAAACCACAAGCTCATTGGTTGATTGCTAAAGGACTCAAACCTGGATCTTTTGGATGAGAGGGAGGGGTACTTCCACTACACTATAAGAGTTCAAAAGTATGGTTTATGGTTCATGGCAGTTTTTATGATTCAGGATCATGTAAACAGACTAACAAATGAAAATGCTTTGAGGTAAAATGCTTTGTTTGAAGCTCACAGGAATGTTTTAAATTTGTTTAGTTGTAAAACTTGAAGTCTAATAGGTCTCTTGGAAGACAAAAGTTTGTATCAGTCTTTGAAAATTACTTCAGTGACCATGTCTTGGGCATTATCAGTTATTGTGGAGTCACATGTGGTTCTTTTAATTAAAATATAATGACGATATATCAGCTGGAACATTTGAGGTAAGAGTTAATCACTGGAAGGTGACACTACATACTCAAAATAGTTAGATAAATTGTTCGGCTAGTGCCAATTTATCTTGGTAAGGATATATGAAGTTAGTAAACTGAAAGAGAGAAGCCATTACAAAATGGAAGATCTTACAAAGTCATTGGCACGTCAAAGAATAAATCAGGAGATAGTAGGAAGTGATGTCACTAAGATGACCGTAACCTTAAAAAAAAATCAGGAGTTGAAAAGACAATATTGAGCTGATACAAAATTAACAATGAACTGCTAATGCACAAATAAGCCAATTAGTGCTAGAGAAGTCTCTGATCATGCATAGGGAATATTGGCTATCAAGAGTTAACACGTTGTGATTCTTAAAGGTTCAATACACAAGGAAGATGACTGCAGACAGGAGAACTTCAGTCATCAGAACAGAACAAGAGACAAGTGGTCGGCAAACCACTATCACTATCTGACATAATAAAGTGACTGAAGGCAGCTTTTATTAAGTATCATTTCTTTCGAACCTATGACAAACTTAATATGTTCTGTAAAACTTGTGAAAATATACTTGCACCCGTAACTGGGCTTGCAACGGATTAAGATCATTAAACCTTTTAGATTAACTCTCTCGATACAATTTATAATTGTTTAAGTAAGTTGCAATGGTAAGTGCTACCACTTCTGCGCCAGAAGGCCCGAATTAAAGTTTAACCTGCTCCAGAGGTATGTCATTACATGTCTCAGCAGGTTGATTAAAAATAAGTAAAAATGTGCAGATTGTCCTACCCATTATTCCAATCATGTGTGCCTGATTCGCAATAATAAGATCACTGATATGTTAACAGATGTACAGGCAACGTTAGAGGTGGCCCATAAGGGATGATTGAAGCTTGGCTCCACCTCACAGTTTGCAGTATTTTTCTAAGTCTCTATGCTTGCTGTTCCACCTATCCAGCTATGCCTGGGACTATTTTTACCTTCTTTCCACACCACGTGTCGTTTCATAACTGGAATCGTAATTTCAAGTGTTCAGTAAAGAACGGCAACCATACTTGCCACTAATGCCAATGATCATTTTCATCCCCTAGTAATGGGAATGGACGCTGCATTGTTCACTGTATCATGAAAAGATATGCAGCAGCAGGAAGATCTACACTGTTAAAAAGATATCAAATTGGCTTGGATGACTTCAAGGAAATAACCAGAACACTTAGAAGGGTTTATATGGGTATGGTAACTAGATTTGTATCCAAGGACAACCTATACATGACTTGGGTCTTACAATTAAAGTCAACGTGAACCCAAAATTACAAAGCATCCTGCATACAACTAATTAAGATAGATGTTTGATGAAGCCAATGAGACTATTGTACGCAAACATTCCAAATGTCTTAACTTCCTCTGAAGCTTGGAAGTACCAATTTTGAAGCAGCTTTTATTGGTTCTAAGAATTTTAAAAACTTTAAATTCAATGTTGTTAAAAGCCGAAAAAAGGACCTGGCAGCTGCTTCACAGGTTGGATCAAAAATCTTGTGGACCACACAATGGAAACATCCCACAGTAGGGTAAATTCTGAATCTGGAGTAAAGGGTATTGTTGGAACAAAGTTCAAGAAGCTTCACACTCCAAATATAAGAGCAAACCTCTTTCATTTTGGCAAGTACATAGGTTCAAGCTTTTGTAGAGGGTCACCTGCAGAAACATTCGCAATGTTCAGGCTTACGTCTGCTCTCCTGTATCTGTGGACTTGTTTTGATAGTTAGTTTCCAGGCCTGACGTGAATGCCTGTGCAGTATGTACACAAATAAGATGCTGTTCAAAATTACCTCAGTTGCAAATATTTGGCAACTTGCTAATTTTTAGATATTTTATCTTGAATAAAACATTGAGTGAAATCAGGGCATCAAGGATAGATTGGAGATTGTTAAAATGTATTTTTAAAAAATTCAATGACTTTTCTTACATTCACTGATGAATTGTTTTGGTAGCAGTAATAACTCCAAAGGCTCCTTAGATTAATAACTTGTAGAATGCGTTGTCCCTGGTTATATTGATTTTGAGGCCTTGAGTTGATCATTTGCAATGACAGACAATAACAAATATGAATGCTTTGAAAGGAGCTCGGTCAATCACTGCACAAATTGTAATGGCTTTGAGGTCAAGCTGACTGGATTGACTAGCTAGGTACCTGGTATCCCTAGGCCAAAAAATTACTGGCATGCACAAAATAGCTTGACGTTTAGTATTATATTCAGTTGTTGCACTTCAAATAATGCCCATATAAGGAGTGAAAGACATTTCGAGAAATATAAAAAAAAGTGTGGAGTAGAACTTTGCAGGAAGCATTAGGAAAACCACCTGTTCCAGGAGATGGAAGAAAAGGCACTGAAGTATCCCAGAGCAAGATAACAATACAACACCAAAAGGGGAAATCAGTTATTGCACAGAAAATTATACTCTTAAAACTGAAAGGATTCCCGGGAACTTTGTCCATTGGTTGACAATTCTTAATTTCAAGTGGAAGCTGAATAACTAAAGCAGTTGAATTATCTACATTTACAAGGGAGTGGGGAGCACCCCATCAAACAAAACAGTACAGCTGATAATGACTGTTTCTGGACACTGGACACGGGCTACTACATCAAGGAAACAGATGAAACAAACTTAGCTGTGAATTTGAAAGAATGGGAAATGGAAGAGTTCAGGCAACATCTGACTGCCAGCGATTATGACGTAGCAGAAATCACATTGTGGCATGGCAAAAGAAGCAGTAATAATTGAAAACAATAAACAATTTGAGGACAATCACTGAATCAAAATAGGATGAAATAATCAAATAAAATATACTACAGGGGAAAATAATAATAATTTAGATGATATAATGCATGGGTAGGAATAAAATGTACATCTGATGCCACAATTAACACACAACTTTTTAAATCTGTGATCTGCTTTCTGCAACACAATTAACGAACAGATGCCAAATACTCTGAATTACCCTCTTCACGTCATAATCTTCTCTGCTCCAAGGAGAATAAGCCCAATTTCTCTAATCTTTCCTTGTATCTAAAATCCTTCATTCCTGGCATCATTTTGGTAAATCTCCTTTGAACTCTCTCCACGGCTTTAACATCCTTCCTTAAGTAAGGTGTCCAGAACTGAACACAAGACTATGATCAATGACTTGTAGAGGCGTAGCATAACTTCCTTGCTTTATATTCTCTGCCTTTATTCATAAGCCCAACGATGCTATAAGCCTTCCTAACAGCTGTTTCAACTTGCCTGGCCGCCTTCAGAGAATCATGCATGTGAACCCAGAGGTCCCTCTGCTCCTAAACCCACTAAAAGTTGTACCATTGAGCCAGCATTGTCTCGACACATTTCTCCTACCAAAATGCAATATCTCACATTTCTCAGCATTGCAATTGACAGGTGTCTGCCCATTTGAGGAATTTGTTTCTCTGA